GAATTAAATGTTGGCGTGCTGAGTGCGAATAGATTTTTCGGGCTATGAGATGTACGATTGGGATTGGGCTTGGGTGTTGTTTGTGTTTCTGTCTGAAGGACCAATTACACTTTGGACGCTCACTTCAGTCCGCTAAGCTTCCGAAAGTCGATAGAATGTTGTGTTGAGTTGAGTTGATTTGTGCTAGGTCACTCCTCTCGGACTTGCTTGGGATATGCCTAGACGAAAGAATACATCGAGTTTTTAAAGAAACCCACAAAATTTACTTACAGCTACTGATACTATTTTCATGATTAAGTCAAAGTAACATACATATATATATATATATATATATACATATATATATGACGCTTTGGCACCGCTGAAAAAACTTTCGGCCGAGCTCCTCCTTGAGGTTTTCCCAACAAATGGAGGGATACTAAGCCGCCCCCGAGTTTTATGAGGAGCTTTTGATTTTCATGTGAGAAATACACTCGGAGAGGTTGACATTCCCTGCCGAGGGGCGACCGCAATAAGAAAATGTAACTTAATTTTTTATTTAAATTAACTTTTTTTAAACTTTTGGATGTCGTCGTTCCAGAAACCTTCCGAATGGCAGTATGCAATGCAGACCAATTAATATTTTTTATTGAATAAAGAGCTATACAACGTACCGAATATGGACAAAGTTAGTGTACTTCATATCTAAATCTCTCTTCTCTTTAATCTTATACATTGCTCAGTTGGAAATACCAAGTGAAACCAGGTTGCTCTCTATAAGCTCCTACCAACGAAGAGGAAGTTTTCCTCTCCTTTTGCCTCCACCAGGGGATACTGCATCGTATAACTCGTGCAGCTCTTCCTTCCGATGACTGTGCGGTTGAAGGTTCCCAGGACGGCCCCATTGAATGTTGTTATTGTCATAGCCACCATATAACAGGACGGGTACGATAAGCGACTTAGAAAGTTTGATTTTGGTTCGTCGAGAGAGAACTTTACTTTTCAATTGCCCACTAAGTCCGTAGAATCTGTTGGCAAGAGTGATTGTGCGCTGGATTTCAAGTTCGACTTTGTTACTGGTGTTAATGCTGGTACCTAGATAGGGGACATTTCGTCTTGCCCTTACCCTTGCCCTACCAGACCAATTCCCTTCGCTTCTTTATCAAGCCTGGGGAAAGCAGAACTAATGGCGCAGTTGTTGAGAGTAATACAATAATATCAATGTCATAGGCGTACGACAGTATTTGTACACTCTTATATTGATTGTACCTTCTCTATTTAGCTCTTCTTATGGATTGGACAGAGCACACTTGGATACCAATCAGCGGGCAAGCTCTCGCCTGATCATATTTTCCAATGAAGTTGTCGCATATACCTTGTCAGCACTTCACCGCCATTTTTGAATTGCTCTGCCGGTAGGCCGTTAGCTCCAGCCGCTTTTTTGTTTGTTAAACTGGCAATCGCTATTCGAATCTCATCATAGTCGAGTAATGGAACGTCATGGACTGGAGCTTCGGGTTCACCATATCCGGGTGTTTAATTTTCATTGCCATTCAGCAGGCTGGAGAAGTGTTCGCTTCATAAATTGAGTATACTCTCACTAGGTCTCCCCTCTGTATCCTGTCTTCTCCGGTCTTGAAGCCTTCCGTAAGTCGCAGTAATTTTTTGGAAAATTTTCGGGCAGTACCCTTGACGGCCAGTTACACAAGCTCCACATACTTACGCTTCTCGGCCTCTTCCTTTTTTTTGTCTGCAAATGTCTCTTACTTCCCTCTACAGCTCTCGGTATTTATCCCACCCAACACAAGTTGTGCTCGATCGCAAGGTTGCGAGTTAGGCAGTCTGCTTTCATTCCGCTGCAGTTCGACACTCCTTGTATCAGGTGCTTTTTCTGGTTGTGCCTTTGATATCATCAGATATTGTTTAGGGAATTTATAACATCAAAAACAATACAATTAATAGAAGAAGAGCCATTGAGAGTGCCAAAAAAAATTATATAAAAAATTTAATGAGCTTTAAAACAGTTAACTTCATTACATTTGATTAAAACAAGTTTTTTTATTATTTTATATGCATTTTATATTACGTACAAGCATATACATATACATATATTTATACGTGTGTATGTCTATGTGATGTCTGTATCAGAAAAACCATGAATATGACACCGCTTAACGCTCTTGATTATGTTTGTTCACAATTTTTGTTTTTAACCACATCTAAACCAACAACAACTCACTTGCATATACACACATATGTACACGTATGTATATACAACGGTGTATAACATTTTATTTGATTTTGATCACATTTCAATTAAATGCCTCCTAATCACTTATGCGTGGTTAACATAATCAGCCTTGACGGATCGCCATCAAGTCTGGTTGTTTTAAAAAAAATGGCGGTAAAATAAGAAGTCGAAGAAACGGTAAAGTAACAAAGATTTCACTTCCAGAACAATCTATTCAAATGCTATACACATGCAACACAAACACACACACACATACACGTACACATGCATATGAATATACCGTCTAAGGCTTAAATGATTTGTTAAATCGGTCTACGGCCTGAATTGCTTTTAAATTATTTGGTTGATTTCACATGCGGCTGTTTTATGATATATTCACCTTAAACTTTAACTTTATCTTGTGTAATTATGCAAATACCAACACACATATGCAAATTCACAATGCAAGTGTTGAAAACGCACAAAAGATTAAAGAGCGTTGTTAAACGTGAGATTTTCATTTTTAATTAATTGTTTTTTTTTTCATCATAAAAAATATACTACAATTTATATATACATAAATTTACATACGTACATACATATATAATTTCAATTTAATCATGAACTAGTTATTGTTAATAAAAATTAATATTCAGTAAATTTATTTGTTTTCGAAATAGACATTTGGTCTCATCAAGATTTGGCTTGCATTATTAATTATAAATTTGTTTTTATTTTTTCTTGCAGCGATTTATCAGTAATGTTGCTTAAACATAAACTCTAGTAACTTTAGACTTTCCACACTGCCACCGCTGGCCTGAATATTAGGTCAAGTAAAAAGTTCGTTCGGTTTTTATCTAAGGCATATATACGTCCGTAGTACTAGTGTTACGTGGCATCGCATCATGTCATACTATAGGGCGCTGGAAACGTGTTTATTTGCGCTAAAAGTTTGTCCTTGACAGTTTTTCGATTGATTGACTCAGTAATTTGTGAGCGTTCGTCAAAGATGGACACCAGCAAAGAGAAAATTCCCTTTATTTTACAATCTTTCTTCGATCAAAGCGAAAAAGCAGCCAAGGGGCTGAGAAATTTAATTAAGTTTATGGTCCCGATACTGTAAAGGAACCTGTGGTAGCAAAATTGATTTGCTAGGTTCCGTTCCGGTAATTTCGATGTCAACGATGCACCACGCGTCGAGAGGCCTGACGTCGAAAATTGCGTTAAAATTATGGAAATAGTGGAAACAGATCGTCACGTGAGCACTTATTTAATTGCTGAGGAACTATAGATGAGCCAGAAAACCGTTTGTCACTATTTGCATAACCTTGGATTTAAAAAGAAGCCCAATGTTTGGGTGCCACACGAACTAACGCAAAACCCAGGATAGACCGAATTTCCATCTGCGAATCGCTGTACACAAAGTTAGAAATCAATAAAAGAAAACCGAAAGAACTTTTTACTTGACCTAATACCTCCATATGCAAATCGATCTTCATAGTGTTAAATCTAGCACTTCACTTCTTGAATGAAGAAAGTAAGAATTTTGAATTGCTTTTATTTCCTTCGCTCAAAACTTAAATAGCAATCCCTAGTGAATCATTTTGGCTGGTGAAAGATTGGGTTCGAGAGAAGCCAGTGATAATCGTGACAATCGTGCATTGTGGGTTTCTACAATAAGAAAGGCATAATAATATTGATGTACATAGTGATTGAGTACAGGGTACTCCATCTTCATCGGTATGTAAACATTGATTAACTTTGAGAAAAAACAACCGATTTCTATGTGTGACGTATTTTTATGCAGTTTGGTTGCTTAAAATTATTTTGGACTAGTTTTTGAAAACAATATCAATCAAGTGGCTACATCTATTGTCAATTACAAAATTACTCTTTTTTTCTGCGTTGTCCATTACCTTTCCGAGCACCTCGGGTGTTAAAGCGTCGACTCCAGCACGAACCTAGAGCTCAACAACAGTTTGAGGCTGGTTGGCGTAAGCCTTGCTTTTCAGATAACCCCACAGAAATAAGTCCAATGGGGTTAAGTCAGTTGATGTGTCAGATGATGCCTTTTCGCCACGATATTTTTTCCGATATGCACGTTGAGTTAACGCAAGGGAATGACTGTTTTAAATGTAAAGTGTCACTATTTCAGCGCGTTGTTTCGGTGCGAAGCGATCCATGGTTAAAATTGTACTGAATTGACGTTTCGAAAACATATCAGATGCAATCGCTCGGATAGTAATTGTGTAGGTTATTCTTCGTTTACATGCCGACATAAAAGATGGAGCACCCTGTACGAATCGAGTACGAATGGTAAAGAAAAGAAATAATTGCAAAGACAAATTGTTGGATGATATTAATTGCAGTGGTTCCCAAACACCACCAATATTCGATATTCAACGAAAATGCCTGTCCAGCTGCAGAGCCCATAATAAGCTTGATCTTTGATTTTCGACAGCCAACGTAGAACGAAAATCGAAATTTATTCATAATACGGATCTTCAAGAGCTGCCGTCTCGATGAAGAAACACCTATAAACGATAATAAGACTTCAGCAGTCATCGGCATCTATGTAATTTTACTTAAATATTTATTTAATCCAAATTCTAACGATTTTTAAGGGACATCAAGAAAAATGGCAGTCGCAGAATTTTTGGAACTCTCTGCACAGTAAAATTGGTCAGCACAATCGAAAACCCGGCTTACCACATCTGATAAAAAATAATGAAAATATGTATATATGTTTTTTTTTCGAAAATGTTTCGTATTTGTTTTATTTCAAAAATTTGTTAATTCTTTCTAGCTACAATAAAAAAATAAATAATTATTTAAAATAATTTAATATATGTAATTGTGATGTTGAGGTCACACCAAGCGTAATAAAATTATAAAAGTAAATTGTCTACAACAACTAAACTACAATTAACGCAGCAAAGTGAAACTGTGGAATCACTCAAGGAAAATATTTTCGAGGAAGAATTTTCAAGTCCGGTTTTGAAGAAAAACTGCGATATTCGCTTACAGACATTCACAATAAGTATTTGTTTGTGTCTAGACGTCTACATATAAATATATAAATAAATAATTGTTAAAGCTAAGTAAAAAAAAATACAACAACAAACAGTTATTCAAACAATATCACAGTTATTGGTGTAGAAATTTATGCAGTCAACTGCCAAACTTCGCCTCCCACACTCAAGTCTCGCACACAAGACCGCATTACGGTACTATTCAACTTGTTGTTGGAGGACTTCAGATTTTTTGCATTTCGCCAATGTCACTGAGGGTTTTCGCGCACGGCTGATGAATTGTTGTCATTGTTGTTGTTGTTGTTGTATTTGTTGTTGTTGATTTCTCATTGACAGTTGTCAAAGTGACATTTGTTGCATGCAACAAGTCATGCTGGCTATTAGCCTCCTCGTACGTGGGCAACACCGCGTAGGCTCTGCCGGGCAACAGCATGCCGGTTGGCGTTGATGATGATAGATTTTGTTGTTGTTGTTCTTGCTGCTGCGCTGTAGATGTAGCTGATGACAACAGCGGTGTTGTCACTTCGACGAGTTGTGTTTGCGATGTTAAATGTTGGAGCTGTTGTTGTTGTTGCTGTTGATGCTGCTGCTGTTGTTGTTGTTCATTATTTGTTGATTTCTCGTTGAGGTGAAAAACATTAAACACACTGGGATGTACTAAGAGACAGGATTTCGGTGTTTTATTGAGCAATTCAAGTGCAGCCTCATACGAAGGCAAACCCGACACGAGCGTATACTCGGGCACGGGATCATCCAGATCGGGATGCAGTTTGGTGATTTCACATTCCTGATTCGAGTTGTGTGCTTGGGTGATAGTGTCGTGATCTGGAAGAGGGAAGAGAGAGTGGAAATATAATAATTAATTGGGTTTATTTCGACAATTTGCAGTTTCTTTAAATTTAACTCCGTTAGAAAAAGATATAAAAATATTTAAAGACTATAAATGTGTTTACTTTTGAAGTTAAATATACTTTAAATTTAATTTTTTGCAAAAAACAAAAATTAATAATATAAAAAATTTAAATAAAAATAATATTTAAATATAAAAAATGTGTTTAATTTTAATTAAATTTTTTTTTCTATTAATTATGTTTAGCAAAAATAAAATAAAATAAAGAATATAAAATTAAAAAATTTTAACAATATTTAAACATTCCAAAAATAAGTGATTTTATGTTTTAATTAACACAGTTTTTTAAATTTATCATATAAAAATAGTTTAACACTCAAAATTTGTTTACCATTTTATTGGCAAAAGAAAAAAACAAAAATAAAAAAATAAGTTTTAAAAATATTTAATCTCCCAAAATGTGTTAAAAGTGTTAATTAAAACATTTTTTTTTTAATTTAATATTAAAAATTCAAATTAAGAATATAAAATTTAAAAATTATAAAATTATTTAAATATTTCAAAAATACATGAACAAAAATTTTAAGTTTTAATTAACACAGTTTTTTAAATTTATTTCAGTTTTACAAAAAAAAAAATATATATATATAAAAATCATATAAAAGTAGTTTAACACTCAAAATTTGCTTCCCATTTTAACTAAACTATTGACAAAAAAAAAATTAAATAAAATAAAAAAACAAGTTTTAAAAAATAATAAATAATAAATAAATATAAAAATAGTCACCCAAAATGTGTTTAATGTTTTAATTAAAACATTTTTTTTTCAAATTTAAAATAAAAAATATAAATTATAATATATAATTTAAAAATTATAAAACAATTTAGACATTCCAAAAATAAATGAACAAAAATTTTATGTTTTAATTAACATAGTTTTTTAAATTTAATTCAGTTTTGCAAAAAAAAAATAAAATAAAACTAAAGAAACTTTTTTTTCTTATTAATTCTTTTGGTTTTAAGTTTTAAAAAGTAATAAAAATATTTAAACACTTAATATGTCACCCACATTTTAATAAAAACCATGTTTTTATTTGATTCTGATTAAACACTCAAAATGTTTTATTTTTTTATTAAAACTTTTTTAATTTAATTCTTTTTCGCAAAAAAAAAAAAAACATATTAAAAAATATAAAAATATACAAACATTCGAAATGTGTTTACTATTTTAATTAAAACAGTTAACTTGTGCTAATAGATAAGTATATTAGAGCTTTCATGGCATATATAATAATACGTGTATGTATGTAATTGTATATCTGCATATAAACTCATTTGAAACCAGAAATTCGCCAATAAAATCTTTTAACTTTCACTTACTCATAAAGTGTATTATTAATAAGCTATTTTGAAAATGTCAACTAGGAATTTAACAAAAAAAAAAAGAATACAAATAAACGCAATCAAACATACATACATACAAATAAAAAGTTAAAAAACAAAAAACAAAAAAATTGCGAAATTGAATGGCAATTTCATACTTGTTTAACAATTGTTCAACAAATTAGTTGGTAATTAATTAATATGCGCATTAATAATGGAAAGTAAAATTAGAACGCAATGCAAAAGTTATTAAGTCCACCAACGTCATGCCGCATCACTACTCACGCGTTCTCGCTGAGTCAATGAACGTTAGTAGCGATGTGATTTTGCCAAAAGTAAATTAAAAAAAAAATTAAAAATTGTTAACAGTTGTTATAAAACTATCAACTGTTTCAATCAACTTTGGATTGATTCAATATGCTTATGTATATACACATCCATACATATTTATTTAGCATATTTGTTACTAATGACGGGTATATAAGTTCAGAAATCATTATCAATAATATTGATTGATAACTGAAATTTTTTACATAATTATTTTTATAGGCTTTGTTTGTTTTTTTCGCTTTTTTTAATTCTCACCTTGCTGCTTAACATGTGAACTATGCTGCTTTTTCTTTTCATCTTAAATTAACTTTTATTTCGACAAAAATAAATAAAAACATTTACTACTTAATTTTTATTTACAATGAATGATTGATGAAACTTTTTAATTTTTTTTTCAAATAAATTCATAAAAATGTTTATATTTCTGATAATTAATAGGGTGAAATGGGGGTTCATATAAGAAAGCAAGTAAATATATAGCCAATAAATTCTTCTACCTAAAACGAATCTTTATGAGGTTATAAAACTGATACTAAATAAAAATATCTATTTTTTATTAGCACTTTTTCATATTATGATTTATAAAATAAAATTTATTTTTATTTAAAAAATTATTTTTTTTTAATTTGTCTACTTTAATTCTTTTTATTTTAGATTTAATTTTTTTTATATTTAAGTAAATAATATTTTTTTAAATATTTAAGTTGTTTAATATTTATTATTTAAATATTCCTTTGAAATTGTTATTTAATAAAAATTATTGTTAAATAAAATTTATATTTATAAATGAAATTTTATATGTTATAAATTTTTATTTTCAACAAAAAAAAGTGTTCTTTTATTTAAAAAAAAAAATGATTGCTTTTCATATTTGTTATAGTTTACACCGAATACTTTCAACTAATATAAAATAAACTTTCTTTAGATGGAAAAAGAAGAATACAAATTTTTTTTTAATATATAATCTTTTTCGTGATACAATTTTTTTTATAATTAGAAATAAATTTTCATTTTTAAAAGAATTTAAAACAAATAATTTTCTTATTATTCATTTTATAGTCTGGTAAAAAATTGAAATTTAATTTTTTTTTTTTTTCGTAAAATATGTAGTTTTATTTATATTTCCATTTATCAAAAATATTTTTATGTAATTTAAATAGTTAAGGCTAAACATTTTTAATACTGTTCATTATGAAGTCTCATAAAAAATTGCTATATTTTTCTATATTCTATATACATACATTTTTAATAAAAAAGAAAAATATAAAATAAAAGTAATATATATAAATAATTATTTTTTTTTAATAATTTAAGCTAATTTTTTTTGGATTTTTAACTCATAAATTATAAAATATATTGTACATTCATACAAAAGAAATGGATAAAAAGTATTTTATAAATATCTATTTCGATTTATGTATTAATTTTTTTTTTAAGAATTTTGAATTGCTTTTATTTCCTTCGCTCAAAACTTAAATAGCAATCCCTGGTGAATCATTTTGGCTGGTGAAAGATACTTTTATAAAAAAATATAAAAATATAAAAAATGTTTACACACAAAATAAAAGGGTATTTGGTATAAGTAATATTTGAAATTTTTTATTTTTTTATAATAAAAAATAAATAAATAAAGCGTGTTTTGTATATTTTTCATAAAAAATTATTATTTTCTAAATGTTAAATGGACTAAGATTTTTTAATATTATACATTTTTTAATATAATTGTTAAAGTGTCTTTAAAATTGATTTTACTTTTATCAAAAATATCAATTTAAATTTGATTTTTTTTTTTTAAATTTAATGCATAAAATTAAATAGTAGTTAAATTGCTTTTTTAATTTTATATATAAAAAAATATTTTTTTAAATTTGTTATTTTAATATTAATTTTAATTAAAATATTATTAGAAAAAAATATTATTTTTTTTTCAATTAAGTTCTTAATATTTGTTTGTCTTTACAGTGGCTGAATCTAACAAAAGTATCGAGTTAGCCCATATACGAGTATATACATAAGTGTATGTGTACAATATTAAGTTTTGAATTAAATAAAAAAATTAAATCCACTGACTTCATTAAATTGATAACTGCCTATTTACATACATACTCGTACATACATACATATAGAAATATTTGTGCATAACAAAGGTTTGTTTTCACTTTGGTACGTTCTCAGCGCCATTTGTTAACCTAGGTGCCTTCACCGTGCAAAAAATTAAAAAAAAATACATACATATGTACATATACATATATGTTTTAAGTACAATATGTTTCCATTTCCATTATTCTCAATGGACTGATAAGAAAATGTTAGGAAATCAATGCATGCAGTTATAGTAATCAAGCTGAAATAATCAGACACATAAATCGTGCAAATATTTGCGAAATATTTATAAAGCAACTACCTACATACATACATCCATATGTATTTTTGGTTTGTACGCTTGCCTTTAGTAGAAATTAAAAAAAAAAAAAAAAAAATATGTTGGTAAACATTTTCAAGTGTTATAAACAAAAATAATTGACACATCATTAACAATTGTTAATCTAATTTATTTGTATGTATGTGTATGTACATACTCAAACTCAACTTAACTTCCACCAAGAACTTTTCGTTAGGCACGTCCCACTTTTAACTGTCCAAATGACCTCATTTCACCGCAATGATTTCACTTTTGATTATTTTTTGGGTATACAATTTTGTTTTTTTTTTGTTTTTTTTTTTTGTTTTTTTGCAGTTGATTATGTCGCAAAAATATTTAGTCAAACGCAGTAAACGGACAAAGAGTTTCAGAGCTTGCTTGAACCTACGCACACGAAAGCATAAAAGTCAGTATTTGCATTTGAACATGGCCTAACAGCCAATTGCGTGTGCATTATAAACGGCATAAGTACAAAAATAAAAATATACATATCTACGCACATATTTACATAGGTTTGGATGTATGTGCATATCGTATGGTTGAGAAATCTCCCACAAATATGCACAACACCTGTAAGCGCAAGCAAAAGCACACATACATATGTACATACATACATAAAAACCTCGTTCCAACAAGGTATGTCAGTTAATATGTACATACGAGTATGTGTGTGCGTAAAACGCATGCAGCTAACCGTCAAGTGTAAACTTAAATATTGACTTTATCAATGATTATTGCAGTTGGCCAAGCACTAATACTAATTAACGTCAAAAGTGCATACACATGTGCATATGTGCATATATATACGTATATAATATATTATGTATAAACATGCACGACAGTTGGTATACATTTATGACTGTTGATTGCTTAAGCCCAAGGTGAGAGACAACATTGTAATTAAGCTGCGTACAAATTGGTAAGTAAATAATAATAAATAAAAGTGTATAATGGTAGAAAATTAAGTAAAACAATATTTTCTATGAACTTTAAGCTCAAATAAAAATAGTACTAAATGTGTTAAATAATACTAAATGCAGGATAAAGTTAATAAAACGTAAAAACAAAATTATGAAATTAAAACAAATTTCATAAAATAAAAAGCGTGTAACATTAAAAATTATATGAAACAAAAACAGTAAGAAAATTAATTAATATTATATGAATATAACATAAAAAAATTTAAAATTTTAATACTAAATTAAACAAAACAAGATAAAATAAGTTAAAATAAATTGAATTAAAAGAAAAATTAATTAAAATAAAATAAATTAAAATAAAAATTAATTAAAATAAAATAAATTAAAAGAAAAATTAATAAAAAAATATAAATTAAATTAGATAGAATGTAAAATTAAAATAAATAAAATATCAAAATAAGTACAATAAAATAAAATGAAGAAATTAAAACAAATCAAACGTATTAATTTAGAGATTATATAAAAAATACACTATAAGAAAGTTAAATCAAAGAAAATAAAATGACTTAAATAATTAAATTAAAATGTAAAAATGTAAAAAAACATTAAGTAAAATAAAGCAAAATAAAATGCAATAAAGCAAAATCAAATAAAAAATTGATATAAAATGAAATAAGGTGAAACATAAAATAAAATTAAAAAAAAAAAAAAAAAATAAATAAGCTGAAAGGAAGTAAAAAAATAATAAAATAATTTAAGCCGAAATAAAAGCATTTAAAATAAAATAATAAAAAAAAATATTAATATAAATAAAATAATTGACTAACAGGAAATAAAACAAATCGGAGAAAATAAATAAAATAAAAAAATTTAAATTAATAATATAAAACGAAATAACAAAATTAAATAAAAACATCAAAATAAAATTAAATATATTACTATAAAACAAAATAAAATAAAATAAAACGAAACAAAATAAAGTAAAATAAAACGAAACAAAATAAAGTAAAATAAAATAAAACGAAACAAAATATAGTAAAATAAAATAAAACGAAACAAAATAAAGTGAAATGAAATAAAAGAATATAAAAAAGTAAATCAATACACTAAAATAATGAAATCAAAATAATACAATATAAAATAAAAAATTAAAATTGAAAAATAAAATAAGATAAATAACAAATAAATAACAAAATGAAATAAAATAAAATTGAAAAATGGAAATAAAATAATTAAATCCAAAAATTAAATGAAATTAAAAAATAAAATGAAATATTATATATATAAGATTAAACAAAAATTAATAAGATTGAACAAAAAACAAAAAAAAAAAATAGGACAAATCAAAACAAAGCAGAACAAAGTGAAATTAAAATTAAAAATAAAAAAAATTAATAAAATTAATATATAGGATGGCCGCAAGAACAAATTATAAAAAAAAAATCATTTAAAAAATATACAAAAAAAAAGTACCAAAAATAAAATAAAAATATAAGTAAATGTACAGTAAAGTAAAATAAATACTATTAGTATAAAATTATATAAAATAAACAGTATAAAATACAAACATCTGAGGTAAATATTTAAAGTGGAATAAAGCAAAAGTAAAATACAATGTAGTTAAAGACTTTAAAATTAAAATTATATATTAAAAAAAGTAGAATATAAAATAAAATTTAAATAAAATAAAGTAACGTCAAGTAAAGTGAAATAAAAAATGAGGGAAATTAGCTCAAAATAGAACAAAGTCAAAGGAAATTAAATTAAAGTCATATTTAGTAAAATAAAATAAAAGAAAAATAAATAAAGTAAAAAATAAAAATTATAAAAAAAAATAATCTTAAAAATATAACATAATAAAATATAAAACATTTAAATGAAATAAAATGCCTTTAGGATTAAATTGCATTAAGCAAAGTAAAATTAAATAAAATAGATATAATTAAATAAAATAAAAAAATATCCAAAAAAAAATTAATTAATATGAAATAAAACTAAGAAGTGAAATAATGAAATGAAATAAAATAATTATTTTTAATTTAAAATAAAACAAAATAAAATAAATACCAAATTAAATAAGAAAATAAAGTTAAATGTAATTAAAACCTAGTAAAAAAATTAAAATTACATTTAATTAGGTAAAAAAATAACAAAAATTTAAATACAAAAAAATTAAATAAAAAAAAAAACATTTTATCTCTCATCCGGTCATTAGCACAGTAAAATGCAATTTTCGAAAAGATTAACCGAACTTTCATATATTTACAGATCTATTAAAGCTATTTGGTATCTAATTTATTATGCGTGGCTAAAAATGTACACCTATTGTAGCTGCAGTATACGATTACGGTTATTGGATCGATAATATACGGCTAGTTTTATTGATCGAGACTGTTGTGCCTGAATATCTATCGAAGGATGCTGTAACCTTCGCTTCAATTACTTCAAGAACTTGTCGAAAGCACATATTTATTTCCCTGCGCTAAAGGGAATTCAAAAGTTCATTACTCAAGCCAAAATATTATATTAAGTTTCCACGCGATGTCGGCATATAAAATACCGTTAAATATTTTCATTCTACACGAAGTACACTTATTACAATATATTTAAATCACTACCATTCATCTCATAACTACATTTCACATTTTTCCTACTTACAATTTCTCTTCCACATGCGAAACTGATGGTACAGGAAACACGAGCAAAAGCAAAATACCATCGAGATGAGTATCAGCGTAAGCACAATCCCAATCCAAACTTCGTTCATAAATTTATCATATTCTAATTGGCGTTGCATCTCATCAATGGAGTCGAAACCGGTGGAATCGATCGCGATGTGATTCGGTGGTGGTGGCATACCATAGAGGTCCATATTTTCGTCACCACCAAGCGAACTACCCACAACTGGCGAATTATCAATTTTAATATATTTCTTCAATTGTATCGAATTGAGTAAAGAAGCGCCGATTCTTTGTAAAATATCATTTGTTGTACTACTCGTCGTTGAGGAGACGTTTATCGCGGGCACTGTGGGCGTGGCAGGAACTAACAGTGTTTTACTATTTTCGAGTATCTGTTGCGCGTACGTATCCAAGTGTGGCAGTTCGTGTGGCAGTTGGTAATTCAATGAATGTGTTAGGCCTGCCATGCTAGCGTATATACTGGGCGCGCGTGAAGACGGTGTGTGAGTTTGTTTGATAAAGGTGCGATATCACTTTCGACTTAGGTCAGCGACTTCGTTTTACTGCGTTGTTGTTGTTGGTAATTATTTATTTTATTTATTTATTTATTTACCTTTTGTTTTCGGTTCATGCACAAAGTGTAATGAATTGACTTTTTTTTAATGTCTGTCAGTTTGTTTATTTATTTTCTTCTTTGCAATTTAATAAGTGTGTCTTCTGTGGTGTAATTATCTTATCAGCATGAGCTTCGTCTTTAACTTTCTCCTGTGGTACGAGTACCTTTGCGAATGCTTTTATCTCTTTTACTTTATATTTGTTTTTCTTTGTTAAATCTCTTGCGACACTTTACGAGTTTTAGCACACTTTTTTATTCAACTACGTGCTTAAACGCCACCTGCACCGACACGTCCACTCCAAACGCTATCTCTGTTTAAACTGCTTGCTGCACTGGCAACGCACTGCCATAAGAAACACAACACTGCGGACGCAGAAGACAACAGAGAATGAATGGCATAACTCGCTCAATGCTTACTTCCGAGAGTTGTGTTTACTAGAGATGATCCCTTGATCTCAAGCTAGATTTTACAAAGACTTCTTTGCACTCTCACTCTCACATTTTGGAATAAATTTGAGTACTCTCAATTTTATGTACCGCGTAATGAGCGTAAGAAAGTTTTTTGTAATAGATTTCCACCATAAAACGTGCGCACACACGATCACTCATCAGCTCGATCGCTTGCGCGCTCTTCAGTTTACCGCAGTGTCCACTCGCTCGCTCGCTCTCTCTCTCTCTTTCTCTGTCTCTCGCGCGCTGTACACACAATCAGTCGTCAGTCAGATTCATTAGATGTGAATGTCGAAATGGCTTACCTGCTTTCCTTCAACTGTTCGGCGGTACTCACCATTTCTGTTGTGTCTTTTTTAGCCACTGCTTCAACGACGATTCGTTTGCTCTTCTGCGGTTTTTGCTGGTTTTGCTTTTGTGAAGGTAAATTTATAACAAAGACCTAATTTTCTTGTGGAAATGGATTTCTGTCAGTTTAACTGCTCTTTCCGTCGTGCAATCGGGCATACGCTCATCCCTCCAACTTCTGCTGTCTACGATTATTACCGTCTGTTCTTGCTCATTTGCCGCTCGGTTACGCACCAACAAACAACAAGTAGACACATCCAGCTATACTTTGGCTATTCTTCTGAAATTTCTTCATAGATGGTTGAGTTGGTCGGATAGATGGGAAATGTGCCACATATTACATACAAACAAACAGACATAGCATAGTTTTGTATTGCATTATGTTCGTGTGGAAACATAAACTGATCTTATGCTCCGGCATAATTATTATTATTATTTTTTTTTTTTTTTTTTTTTGTCTGATGAGAAATGTCTCTGTTTGCTGGTTTTTGTTGTCATGCCAAGACTACGAACCTAGGGAAGGAAGAGTTTCGAACAATAGTTTCAAATTATGTGGCCCATAATTGGCGTTACAAAACGATTTTTTGGTAGACCGGCAGACAGACAATATTCTGATCAGTTTGTGCATTGCTCTGATAGAGGTTGTCCTTTCTATTTTGGCTTCCAGCGACACTTTTCGGCAGCAAAGCGTTCATTTGTTTGTGGAGATCTCCGACAGACGTGAGCTCAGTTGACAAGTACAAGAGGCACAGGTTTTAAATTTCACACAACAGCTCAAAATTTATTTAGTTTTTAGAAGATCTTTGACATACAAACATACATTATGCGTAAATTTATATGATTTACCCACTTTTTTTATGTCTTACAGATCCTTCTGCCTGTTTGATATGCTTTGAACCTCATGTTGTAAATTTGTTGTTCTTTTGTCGGACTTACATATGTGGGTTCAGCAAGATTTTAGGATGAGGCATTATAAGAAAGGATTATATTATCGATGTTACATGGAAATTTAGCAAAGATCGATTTGCTCTTAGTATGAAAGAACGTAAAATTGCTTGTTAATTGAGGTCTGCTCATTTCCGAATTAAGTTTTAAGGTGTTACATCTGGTTAGGAGCCCTAAAAATTAGCGTTTTCAAACCTTTTTCACGAAGAAACTTTCAGCTTTATTATTTTGAACATTGTACACGTGGATATTGAAGGCCAAAAAAAGCTTACCTTCTCTAATATTTTTTTAAAGATACAAAATTAAATATACAATTTCTTTTGTTCACATATAAAAGTACAATAAGTGGACAACATTTGATGAAAATTTGAATGAAAAATAAAATAAGTTCAGGCGACCGTCCACAAGAAAGTGCTTTCTGATAACTTTTTAAATTTTTATTCGAAATCGAAAGTACAAATTTTTTTTTTAAAGTAGGTGCATTTTCCTTGTCCCTTAATGAAGAAAAAAAAAAAAAAAATGAAATTGAATTTTTTGTAGCGTTTCTTACATAAAATTAAGCCACATATTGGTTGGTAAAAGATAAAATAAATCCTTCGTTCAAGGACTACAAAGTCGTGCTTAAAAGCAGTGTGGAAAATTTGAACTCGATGGCTTTAATAGTCGTTGAGAAATTTTGACTACCGATTTCGATAAAGTGGTTTTTAGTGACGGCATCGGTCAAGCCATGACAAAGACGGCTGGGTATAAAACTCTCTAATTTCTACAGTTTCATTGTGATCAACTTGAAATTTGGAGAACATATTCCTGACACTTTGTACTTCTATGCAAACATTTATCAAATTTTTTTAAAGTTTCAAGACCTATGTAACCTCTTAACTATGTCACCTTTGAAGAGTAGTGAGCAATTTTTTATTTATAAAAATAATAGTTTTTGCAGCTGCTACAACAGATCTTCAGCGACCCCTCCAAAAAAAAATGCGTTTTGCGATGACCATTGTATGCCTGAAGTAAATCATCTGAAAAGTGAGGATCAAACGGATTTCGTTAAAATAATGTATAATCTAGTTATTGATCGACGGAATAAGCCAAAAAAAAAAGAGTTTGGGATGAAAAAAAATCATCGGCAATGAAAAAGCTTCGATTAAGTACTACAATGTGTTGTTCGGAAGCCCGTGATACCAATCGGTTCAGCCGTTTCCGAGAAATCTTGCGTACCGACTTGGAAAACATAGTTTTGAGAAAAACAAGGCGCCACATCGGCTTACCGCTTTCAAATGATCCGACAGATATTCGTGTAACTTCATAAATAACATAACATAACATTTTGAAAGTATTTACTTGATACATGTTCATTACGAAAATGAATTTAAAAACAAAAAAAAATTTCTAAAAATTCTAACTAGATGTAACCCCTGAAGTGATCAAAACATCGTCACTGAGCACAAGCGAGACTCTAAGATATACTGAAGCTCGGCAAACAAATATAAAGAAAGATAGCTTCACTGGTGTAGTGGAAACGTTCACAAAAGGTAAAAAAAATTGCAGAAGATCTTCTTCTTGATCACCATATTGGTTTCAGTGGTTAATAAATATTACTCGCTTCACTCATCAATTACTCTGGCTCCACTCTTCGAGAATATGTAAAAGCTTTTATGACGAGAAGGATTCCAAAAGCTCAGTGCATAATGGGCTTGGATACACATTTTATTTTTTTTAATATCAAAGCTTTCAAATTCTCGATCCTCGGGTTAATCTTCGAGTTTAGCACTTTTACTATGCTTTTTTAGCACATTATAAGATTTTAGCTTAGTATGCCCAATATGTAAATGTTTTGAGTGTAGGACAGTCGGATACTTGCGCTCTCTCTCCCTGTGGATTCGTGAGTCTACTGCCGTATTGGCATCAACTAGTAGAAAATTCGACTTTTGTCTTTATACTTTTGTACATTTTGAGGAATGTTGGAACTCAGGATCTCCTCTTGTTTTCGAATCAGATATATTCTACTTTCTCTAATATGAATCGACATATTTAATTCACTATAGGTCATTAAAATTATTTATTATTGTTTAATTATGAATATTTTTTAACCTCTTTATATATTTTTTGCAATTTTAGAGGTATCATCATTATGTCTCTCGCTGCTGGGAAAAAATTTAAGGGAAAATAGATTTTTACAAATTTCTCTTAAGGTCAATTCTACACCATTTAAATTATTCGCTATAGACAGGCACAAATGGTAATCATTTGGTGCAAAAACCGAACTATTAGGTGGATTCTCAAAAAAGCTCTCGGAATTTCTGGTGAGTCACTGTCAAAGTGTGTTCTCTGATAAAACACAATTCTCCTCTAGCCAAAGTTGTCAATTGGGCGCTTCTGGACGATAGCTTACTATAGATGGTCTAATTGCTGACAGCACAGATCCGAATTAGTAATATTGTCGTACGATAGCAGCTCATGTTGGAAGATTCCTTGCACACATAACAAAACATTCCAGGCCGTGAATCATGGTTTGGACCCCATTTGTTTGTATCGACTAACTGCGCTTCGATCAGAAAAGATTGCCACTATTATATCGACATTTACGACAAATGGTCTTCCACCACATCGAGTATTCTTTATATCAAAATTACCGTAGCGAAATCGACGAAACCTAAACTGTGATTCATTGACTGCTGCAGTATCAGGACCATAAACACTATCCACATTTTCAGCTATCTGGCTTGCGTAGGATTTGCAATTTTTAGATTTAACAAAAACAAATTGAACGACATCAACTGACCGAACTTTTGTTAATCCCCTCGTAGTTTCAGAACCTGCAGCGAAGTGGTCACACAGATGACAGTTTACAGCGAAATTCGTTGGACGAAAAAAAAATATTATATCTAAGATCACCTTAATATTAAAAAAAAAATAACCAGACTGTGCTTAAAATAAAGGCAGAACCGTATAATAGTAAAGTTTACCAAACAGCTTCAAGGTTTTTTAATACCTTATCCCCTGGCAGTCCTGGTAAATTGCTGCTTCATGTGCAGCCATTTGAATGTATTATATTTATTTTATTACTTTCTTTTTGACAATCCAACATTTAAATTTTTAAAAGTAAACAAATCTTACGGCGATTGAGGGTTCTGTAGGAAAAAATTACCCGGACCTACTGCAAGGAATCGTTTTTGTCAATCAATTATGGTTACGTTGTGACAGACTTATGTATGTGGTGTAGGTGATGTCATAATTATATAAATATATATATATGTTAGAGAAAGAAACCAGTGAAAAATAATTCTACAATAACCTTAAGCTGATAAAAAAGGAAGCCAACAAACCGCTGATATGAGGGAGGATTATCTTGAAAGTGAGGGTTAACACGACCAGCGAAGGATGGAATGCCGGCTGATAAGCAATGAAAAAAAGTACATAAAACAAGGAAAATTTGTTTTTGTATGTAGAAAACGTAAATGAAAGAAAACAAGATAAACAGATAGGCATATGTATGTAAATAAGAAGCTGAAATTATGAAAATTGTCATAAGCAAATCAAAATAATATTAAAAATCAAATAACATACGATATATGTACTTATAAGCATACATACGTGTAGGTAAGAGTACAGTTGAACACTTACATATATAAATACACACTTACATACATACATAAATGTAATACATGTATACGTTTTTATGTAGTACATTGACTGCTCCTGCGTTTGACTAAAAATACCGAGTTTCACCGCCGTCCGTCTCTGAGACTCTGTTCACAATTGCACTGCAATAAGTCGCGATGAGGGTTGAAAAAACAAAATAAAACTACAAATACAATAAAATGCACTTGCTACCTCCACAGAATGGTCACGCTGTATGCCACAATGTAGGGAAGCAAGTCTGCAGTTGGGTCTGTAATTTCTTAAGAAATAAAAAAAAAAACAAAAAAAAAGGAAAAAAAAAGAAAAAAAAGAAAAGAAAGAATGCAACGTTTTCATGGTAACACAAAAAACTTACCAACAAATACATATACACGAGTAATTCAAGTAATTATGCTTTACTTACAGAAATTCAAAAAAAAGTCCTGCAACTTATTGGAGCTGCAATTGCATCTAATTTCCTTGAGAAATTGCGTTTACATACCATTGTATCAGGTGTTTATGTCTGAAACCGGAACTTTTGTATAAAAAAACTACGTTTATTGTAATGTTATGACACAAAGTAACTTATCCAAAGTGGTCCGTTGCTACCTATACATTTTTCCCATTTCTCTGGCAATTTGTGGATTCCGCGCCATAAGAACTGTTGCTCTTTCGAGGCCAACCAGGCATCGAGCCATTTTCGTACATCTTCGTAAGAAGTAAAGCGCTGCTCAGCCACAGCGTGTCCCATTGGTGCAAACAAGCAGTAATCGGATGGCGTAAGGTCCGGTGAGTAAGCCGCGTGCTGAAGAATCTCCCAATGGTACAACACTATCATTTCCTGGGTCTGTTTCGCATCGTGTGATGGTGCATTGTATTGCATCACCTTATGTTTTCTTTGTTGGTATTCAGGTCGTTTTTCACTCCAAACCCGATCCAAATCGGTCATTTGCTGTCGATAGCGGTGAGTATTGCCAGCTTCCCCAGGCTTCAGCAGCTCGGTTTTCTTCAGATGAAACAAGAAAAGTAGTGCTGTCCGCAAATCGTAATTTGTTGGCACGAAACTTGACATGTTTAGCTCCAATAAACTAATGCGTCTGTATGAAACTAGTTCCAATGTGAGTTGGAAATCTTTGTCGGATATCAATAAAATAACAAAACACCACTGACGTGATGTGTCGGTAACTGCATCGTTGTCTAGCGCAACCTATAGGCGAATTCCGGTTTCATACTTACGCACCTGGTATATAACCCGCAGGAAATGTGTGATAATTAGTGATATAGGAAATAAGGTGCAGCTGTAGACGTGAGGAACAGATCAACGTAATCAGGTGGTCAGGATGGAAATGTAGAATAAAAGTTATGGGACTCTGCCTGCCCTATTAATATTCAAAAAATACAGCGATTCCAAAAATGCTACGTTACCTCACTGAAGAAAAATCTACATAGAGACCTTGAAACACCAATGGTAAACACTGAAGTGACAAATACCTGGCAAAATACCTGTCGAAACTTCAAAATCATCCGATCTATTGACCTTGTGAACGACATGACATTGAACGCATTTCGTCTTTTTCGTGCTATCCTCTTACCCCCAAATAATTCTGCTATGTTTAAATAAAAAATATAGGAAAAATTTTACATTTTTTCAAATATTTAAACGTCAAAATACCCCGTATTTTATTTTAATTTCCTAACCTTAATAAAATATTCATCGAGTCCCACCTTAAGTTAAAAGGAATTCAAGGCAATGACGTTAATCATACAAATTTCTCAGTTACGCTATAAGTCGTTTAAGTAGATTAAATTTCCCAACACTTTTAAGTATAATCTAACCGCTAAATATATATAGACTCAGAAATCTAGTTTGTTAGTTATTTCAGCCTAATCAAGCGCACTGAGGGCAACCGACTCGCAATGATACCATTGTTGGCTTTGTGTAGAAGATTTCCCTCACCGTTCCAGATGATCAGACCACTAGGTTTGTTTTATGAGGTTCCTGGAGAATAATGTAACGTAGAGATGCAAAATCTGCAAGGAAATCAAAGAAGAAATTTTTGTGGAAACATTAACGGACCGTACTAAGAGCGAAGCAGGTAGTGTGTCACCGATTTCTCCTCGTCTATGTCCCTATAACTGCTGCAGAAGTCGTTTGAGAAGTAACCCATCCTCCCACTTCCATGGGTTTTTTTCCGAAAATCTGGTGTTTTTCGATGATTTTGTTCTGCCAAATTCCGCATAAAGCGCAGGTAATACTCTTTATTTTTCGTCTAAATTTATAGAGGGAATTCCGGCTCCAAAACGCTCTTCGAGAGCAAAAGATTTTCCATCAAACACGCGTATGCTTATAACTAAATCTATGTCAAATATAATAAAAATATTCTCATTAAAAATTTAGTTTTTCGTTACACTAAATTCAGAATAAATCAGGCAATTTGTCATAATTCTTCATTCTTTTTAATCTAAAAAAATATGTTACATTATGTGTATATGTGCATACAAGTTGTATATGTATGTGTGAGTATAAACATAATTATTATAAATTAGTGAATGCATTTTACGATGTAAATTTTTAATATTTGAAAAATTATTATCTGATCATAATTTGACACTTTATTGAATATTTAAAATTTGCTTTCAGATTTTTCTGTGACTAATGACTGAGGTTAGGGCTGAGAGAATCCCGCATTTCAATGTCTACATACAACATATAATGAGGAATACTTAGTCACTCATTTATCTAAAGCGCACCCGCATTGTAGCCCAGCAGCGCGTTTCTAGCTTTGATAATGTGTGTCTCTGGTTTGTAGAGGAGGGAGCTAAAGGGTGGAGCATGCAGCTTAAGTAAATCACATTAATATCTTTCAAACAAAATTCTACTGGTTTGGCTTTTATGCCCCAAACAACTGCTGATGCTACGGCGGTCAGCCAGAACCAGTAGCCGTAAAACCAACAAAGAGATGTGGATTTCTTTTGTTTCGATGCGCGTTAATGGTTGCAGCACAATGTAGTTATAATGTATGTATGTCTGTAACGCGGAATATATATTAAATGTAACGTTGTCTGTTGACTTGCTGTCGGTGGAAGCTACAAAAATTCAATAAGTCGTATTTGTGTCAGCGATAAAAATGAACTTAAGCAAGTTTGTCTGCAGAAGAGAATGGCGGCAATGATAATCATGCCAGGGAAGATCAGAAAAAGGTGGCAAAGAACTTGAAAGCTGATTAAGTTAAATGACTTAAATCCTATTTGGTTGACTTTATACAATGCATACATAATACATATATATAAGTACATATGTACATTAATTTCTGCAAGTACAGTTTTGTTCACAGGAATGTGCACACTAGACTTTTCTAATAAGAATTTAAAAATTAGGTTTTAGGCTTAAAATATTAAAAAACTTCTTAGATGAACGGTCTCAAAAGCGCTGTCAACTAAATGACTCAAAATATATTTTAGACTGATCAAAAAAAAAAAAAAAAAAAAAAAAATGCGTAAGCCAGGGACTAGTGCCAGTAGTAGTCTACTGGAGTTAAGTTAGGTTAGGTGGATATCCATCCATACAACCAGATTAGGCTTTGGTGGGCTAATTGGGATAAAACGGCGTTAGCCAAATCATTACTTTCTACTTCCATTTCTATTCATTGTCGTCTGCTATTAAATACATATAAACCATCAAGGAACTTTTTTGTAAAATTGCCGCTTTCTAATCGTTGAAGTAATTGTCGGACGAGCTTGTCCTCTCTTTTGTGGTGGGCGACTTTTTGTATTTCCAAAAAAATTAAGGAATTATCAGTACTTATTAAGTCTACTCCGAACGGCCGCTGAATTTTTAAGAGAAACTTTGATTTTCATGTCAGAAATAAACGCGGAGGGTTTGACATTCACTCGTAGGTCGTAGATATCAGCTCTTCCTAAGTTACGACAGTTGCAAAAAAAATGTATAATTGTTTTTTTTTCTTCTCGTTCTTACTCGTTAGCTTCTGCAACAGCTTCGTCTTCTCTTAGCCAATGACCTTTCAGACTTTTTTTACCTTCGAGATAACCTCCTTTTTATTAATGCATAATCTGTTTGGATTTCATTCTCATTTTTCATCGAGAAGATCCCACCCTTATCTCGCAAGCTCATCAGTCTTTGTGGTCCTGTGGTTATCAGACCAAGCAAGAAAAAGTCTGTCTAATACTTATAAATTCAACTTAAAGAGGAGAATATTAAAACGTACTACAATGCCTGCGAGGGCTTTACAGAGGCGGAGACCGTTTTTGGAGAGTTTTAGCTGTGCATTGTCAGTAAAAGAATGCCACAACTAGCAGTCCATAGCGAAAATTAAAATGTATGTAGTCAGAGGAAAGTACTTAGAGGAAAAGGGTCAAGCCAAGAATGTGTCAGCTCAACATACTTTATTCTTGGAACACAGGTGTGAGGGTGAGTGGAGCTCCACCCCGTGAAGCGAAAGTAAACTATTGACTGTAAGAGGCGGAAAAGGCGACATTTCAGTGGATTCGCAGGCAAATACCCTTTATTGTACCATAGAATGAGCATTTTCGAAATTAACTAGACTTCACCGATACCCAACGAATACCCATGGACTCAAAGGACTTCCGAAGAAAGTTTAAGGTATTTTTCAAAACTCAAAGCTTGTATATGTAGATTTGTAGAAAAGAGTTTCCAACCACTCAACAACATAACGGTTGAAAAATCGCCCCTTCAAGATCAGAACTATTTTCTTTTTCAGAAGCTTTAAGCAATACGAACCCTCCTGGTTCTATTTCTTCCTTTCGGCCAAGGTTTCTCTCGACTAGAATAGGTCAATTCAGGTTCCATCTTGAAACATTCGCACGGTAACAGTTCACATCTACAGATCTTTCTAAGCAAGTTCGTCAACAAGTCAGTTTTCTACCATGTTTGGTTGACCTGTAATCCATATAGGAAATACTCAAATGGAGTATAAACTTTTATTCATCAAACATTTCATTATTTAAGGCCAAATTAAACAGAGATTTGACTGCGAAAACAAAGAAGAAGAGAGCAAGAAAATAGTAAAAAAATAATGACTTTCAGACCCTGATGAATGTTTTTCGATGAAACGGTTTGTGTTTTTTTTTCAAATCAAGGCACATGGCTCGATGTTATTGCCCGTAGCTGTATGTACATTGGGGTGCAAAAGTGAGTGAACTTAGTCACTAACTATTCAATGAAAAATGGAGAAATTGTGTTCTGATCAAGAAAATAGTGGGTGTTCGAAACGCACTATAGCTGAGAAGCTGCAAATTAGTCAATCTTTTCAGAAAAGACAAAAAGTTTCTGCTGAAAAGAAGTTGAATGGTCGCCGTTGCCTTCGAACAGACTCTGACACTCGACTTATGATGCCTAAAATGAGAAAAATTAGACTTTTAACGCATAAAGAAGTTTCTACAGCGCTTCTAAGAGCGCTTGGTCGGATCGGGTACGTCGCAGCAGTGAAAAAAAAAACAAACCAGCTTTATTCAAGAAAAATGTTAAGGCTCGGCTAAAATTCACCAAGGAATACAAAAACTGGACAATAGAAGACTGGAAACGTGTAATCTGGTCGTACGAATCTAAGTTTAGCCGTTCTCAATCGGATGGAAAGCAATGCTGTTGGCGGAGACTTGGTGACAAGCTTCAAAGGCATCATGTGAAGCAAACCGTTAAACATGTAGGCGGCAACATAATGACATGGGAGTGTTTCCTGTATGCGCACATTGGACCGTTGCACAAAGTTGACGGTATTATGCGAAAGGAAGATTATTTGATCATTTTGCAAGCCCATCTGCCTAATTTTCTTGACCAGTGTGCGTACCCGAAGGAGAAAATTACCTTTCAGCAAGATGGTGATCCCTAGCACACTGCAAAATTGTTAAAGAATGGCTCGGAAACCAAAATTTTAAGATGAAGGAGTGGCCAGCGCAAAGTCCCGACCTCAATCCGATTGAGAACCTATGGTCAATCGTAAAGCGACGGCGCGGACAGTGTCAAACAAAAGTGGATTCCGAAAGGAATATTTGAGAAATTAATTGAAAGTATGCCAAAACGTATGAAAAATGTCATAGAAAGTAAGAGCCTGCGGACTAAATATTAATAACGAATTTATTAAATAAAATACTATTAAAAAAATTTCCAAGTTTTATCATTTACTTCGTTCGTTTAGTTTTTATGTGCTCCCAAACATGAAAACGTTGATCGTAGAATCACTTTTGCTCTCCACTGTATGTACATGAAAATGATTCTTCACATAAATAAGTCAGCTTATAAATTTAAACAGCTTCCAATTAAGCCCTTGGTTACACACATCTTCTTTGCATCGGCTTCTATACCTGCCGTGGCATATCTGCTGGCGGACTACTTAGAACATTTGGTTTGATTAATAAGTCTTCAATTAATTGCTAATCAGATAATTTCTTGCAGGGAATAACTAACAAACTATTCTATTTCATCTCATAAAGACACATCAATACATACATACAAACCAACTAACGCATATTTATGTCTGTAAAAAATGCATTCAACCTAGAAATGTGCTTAAAAGAGGCGATGCTACCGATCATCGATCACTTTGTGTCACTCTCCGATCATTAGTTCGTCCCGCCGTTCTTATCTGATACTCTCTATTTGCCAAATTCAATGCACAAACAAATGACATTCCAACTCATCATATGCATATTTGCTTACTCACGCTGAACCTTTCTGCTTATCTTGACAAAATCACAACAACAATGCAGTGCAACTATGAATATCTTTAAAAAGAAATGTTGAAGGAATGTTTCACTTGATCCTGTCTGCCAGTATGTCATCCATTATCCTTTTTGCATTCAATAGCAGGGTTGACAAGTTGAGACATGCTGCGTTCGAAGGGAAAGGACTTAAAGATCCTTTCTTTTGATAATTCTATCAATTTTGATGTTTACCTTCAGCCTGTCGTTCGGCTGAATATTTAATATGATTTGAAGAAGGGTTATTTTTTTTTTGCTCTACAAGATCTTATTAGAACTGATTGGACAAAGCAGTTTATCTCTCTTAAGAGAGCTTAAAGAATAATGCACATATTGTAGAGAAATGGGATTATAATTTCTATTTTTCGAATTCTTTTTAAATTATCAGACATTTGATTCTTAAAAGATCTATTAAAAATTTACTAAGCTTTGACTGTTCTTTGGACTTTTTTTCTGTGAAGCCTGAACATAAAGCACCAAATACGAGGAAATTAACAAAAGCTCGGCAAGTACCATGCTGTTGGGCTCCATACCATGGACTGCTGTTCGGTTTCTGGATCGTACTTATAAAACTAAGACTCGTCACCGGTAACGACTTTACTAAAGTTGCTAGACTGACCATTTTCGTAGGAAAAACTGAGCAAAATGCAGTCCAGCCTCTTTTATAGCCTCAATTAAAATACGTGTTACGAATCGAGTAGATCTCTTCGTATATCCCAGATGATTACTTAATATTCATCAGTTCATTTAGCAATCCTTTGTTGTGCCAATCGTGAGTCTTCGTCAATTTTGGACTTCACCAAAGCTACAGTGACGTCAACAAAGGAAGATTTTTGTCGACCGTCACGGTGCTCGCTCTCTGCGGAAAAATATCTGATTTGGAAACTTCGGAGCCAGTTAGAAATAATCTTTAAAAGCGATGCAAAATTTTTTTTACGCCAAAATCCGAAGAGGATCGCATGGCGAATTTCTGTTTGCGTTGGTGGTGGAATTTCGTCAAACCTATCCTCCACTATCTTGCGTTTTCTCGCCTCCAGGGAAAGGAAAACTAATAAAGTAATTGCAAAGGATTTGATAATTTAAGACTTAACAAACCAACTGGCCGAACTTTTGTTAATCCCCTCGTAGCTCTCATTCAGTGCCAAACTGTAGGAATTCTTACCAACAGAACACTTTCACAGTATACAATGAATACAGGAGCTCGTATTTAAATAATAGTTGAAAACTGTGAAGAAATATTCTCCTGTAAACAGAAAAAAGACCAAGTGATCTCCGTAAGGCTCCACATTGAATATGTCTGCTTCTTCTTCATCTTAAATATTATAGCCGAGCTAACAACAGCACGCCATTCATTCCTTTTTTTCGCTGCTTGGCGCCAATTGGGGATGCCAAGTAGAACCAGGTCCCTCTCAACCTGGTCGTTCCAACGGAGTGAGGGTCTTCCTCTGTTTCCACCGGCAGGTTCTAAACCGAAAACTTCCAAAGCTGTAGTATTTTTTTATTCATCCGGATCCCAGCATCTAAAGTGCGGGGAGACTGTTTCTTGATTCGTTGAACTTTTCTAATGTTGCGGTACATATCGTAAAGCTCTTCGTACTAATATTACAGAATGGTGCGGTCCAATTATATTAACTGATAAACTACTTAAGAAGGCGAATTCCCAGCACGGAAGAATGAGCAGATAATTTTTACCATACTCATGATGGATCAAAGCTTCAGGGCAGAGTTGGCGGAGGTGTCTTCTCCCGATGAAGTTATATACCTGCTATCATGGCCAGCGACAGTCGGGCAGCAAACACTAAATTAGTGGAGGACGGTCGCCAATCTCTAGGCAAGGTACGGCCAAACAGATTTTTCTTGATGAAGAACGCATTGGTATGCCTTTTGCAACTTGCAAACTGCTTCTCTAAAAAGTCACATATGTACAAATCCCAAAAGGGTGGAATGACATTGCAACCTGCCGCAAGTCCAGGCACACCTAAATAAATTGTTCATGGAACTCGCCTCTCAATAAGCCCATTGTTATGCGTTCTCTGTGACATGTGGCACCGTCTTGTTGAAACCACATGGCATGCAAATCGAGCTCTTGTATTTTGTGCAAAAAAAAAGTTTGATATCATCTCACGGTAGCGCTCGCCATTCAAAGTTACATTTCGATTCACATCATCTTTGAAGAAGGACGGTCCAATGATGCCCCCAGCCCATAAACCGCACCAAACTGTGACTTTTTCTGGATGCCTCGGTACTTCCTGTAATGCTTCTGGCTGATCTTCACTCCAAAATTGGCAATTCTGCTTATTTACGCACCCATTAAGTCAAAAATGACCTTCGCAGCGCGCGCGGTAGAAGCGCGATGAACTTTCTTAAAAGAGCACGTATTTTGATAATAAAATTCAATAATTTGCAAGTATTGTTCGTTTGTAAAACGTTTCATGGTTGAATTGTAGACCAAACTGAAGATGATACCTAAAAAATCACCCTTTAGTTTTTCAGATCCTTTCACTTTTGGAAAAAGACATTAAGACACACAAAAAATTGGCAAGAAGCTTAAAATGGTATTGATTTCTAAATAAAATTCAATTTAAGTTTTATACAGTTCATTGAACTCTGTCAAAATTTAATCGCCGGATAACACTTCACCTTCTTCAAATAACATCAGTATATATCATAAGTATATATTTTTAGATTATTATGCACTTTCACTAGATGAGTCGCTACTAAACCGTTATTGAACTTAAATTCACTTTAAATAAGCAAAATTGGATAATCTACCCCAACAAGCCCGAACATGGCAAGCACGAAGAGCGATTGATAAGAAATTCCAAATCCACTACAGCTGAGATGGCAGTGAGCGAGTGAGAGCTGTGTACGTGTGTGTGTGTGTGTAGTGCATATTTGTTTGTTGCATGCGGCGCAATGCCCAACCACTTCTGATTGATTGATAGCTTTATCCAATTTGCGGTGGACGCCCGAACTGATATCTGGCAGACCCATCCGAACGAAATACAAACAGAACAGACACACATTTGGAGATAACGGTACACGGCCGCGCTCGTCACACAATTTTTTGATGTTTTTTTTCTGCCTTTTTAGTTTTTTATTGCTTTTTAGGGGGGCCATAAAAGCACCTTACACCCCATTTACCCGTTCCACTCCACGTGCGTCTTCTGACTACAACGAGCTTTGCGCTCGTAAATATACATACACATTCGTAAATATGTATGTACAATATGTATGAGTGTATAGTAAAATACCGCCAACTACTTGTAAACGACTTGCCTCAATCAACGCTCAGCTCGTTATGCCACAAATAAATTTTGAACGAGATACAAACAAACAACCAAAAAAAAAAATACAGTTTGGTTATCTCATAAAACTCAGGTATACTTCGTATGTATGCATGTTTGTAAATGTAATATAAACAATTATTTATTTATTGATCACCAAAACAGAAAAAATCGGAATACCATTTTTCGTGCTTTCAACAATCCGACAGAGAAGCGCACACGCTCCAATAGAACCAACAATAAATTAATACGGAAAAAATTAAGGAAAATTATACATAAATACATACACATACATACACATAAATATAAATCTCGTCTAGCCATTTGGAGGCTTAATTCTGGCGCTGTGCCGTTGATGTATTGCTCGCTTTTTTGAAGTTTTTCAATTCTCCGCTCTCGCGAATCGGCTTAGTTTGATTGAAGATTTGACAGTTTTTTGATAAATTTTTCTGATATTTTTTTTTTCACACATAGCATAGCATTTACCGTTAGTGCTAAAGTGTAATTAAATGCAGCTGCTGAAAACTAAATTCATAATTATTGATTATTTTCTAATTTGACGTCAATCGTAATTTAAGTGAAGGGAATTTGGGGCAACTTTCGGTGGCGCCAAAATTGATTTCTGATGTAGACAAAGGGCTGCTGAGGAACTATGTATGTTTGCAGGGCTACTAGGAAATATACGTATATAGATAAGAAGATCTCAAGGAGCCAATTAAGTTTCACCTGCGTGTTTAAGGACTCGATGTTTGTAACAAATCCAATTCCTTTCATGCAACAAATTATCGATTTCCGCTGCTCAATTACCTTGGAAACACGTAAAGCTACTCGAACTTACGTGTGTCGATCCTATTCTTATGGATGCTTTGCAGATTACGGGATATAGTGAATATCTCATATGAATCCTTAACTACAGGGCTTAGATCGGTTAATGTGGGATACCAAGCTGGGTAGAGTTATTCTAAGACGATTGCGCACTATGAGTTCGATTTAATATGGACAGAGTAATGAGAAGAAAATGGCCCAGGTGGCAAGCCGCCGACATTTCTCTACGTCATCGATAGAGGATTTGGGGTTTCTATCCCCTGTCAATATAAACTCGTATGACATCCACCGAAATATGTTCTAACTTTCAACTTCTGCGCATTCACGCAAATCGACTTATGTCCTTTTCCAGTCATTCCTTATCGCTCTCTCTTCGACACGTTTGAAAGCAACTCTTATCCCTAGGCGATATAGTGGCTTTAAATGCGCTCTAAAGTGTTCATATACCAAGTTGTTGATGTGGGCTCTCAGGGTATAGGGATTCCAGTCAAGTCGAAAGCAGTCTTCACGTATCCAGTAGAGCTTTTCGATATTACACTTTCCTTGTTTGGTTCATGTCTATTCTTTGTCGCGCAAAGTTGGTTGTGTGTCTTGGCTACGACAAGAAAAAGGTCAACGTGGAGTTTTGAACTTCAGAGTGTAGGTAAATCTTTATTAAGTTTATTAAAATATAGTATTGTTAGTGCTTTGGTTGAGTACTTACATGAAATGGAGCAACCTCCACTTTATTCTAAGCTATCTCCGGACGGCTCAAGGTTTTTTATGAGCAGCTTGTATTTCATATCCAAAATACACTTAAATCGGTTGACGTTTTCTGCCGAGGGCTGGCCCCAATTATAAGGAGCTATTTTTGCATTTAATTCATTTTCTACTAGTATAACTGTGAGTGTTGGTCTAGGCATGGTGTAAACGTCATATAGGTACAAGAATATTAGGCTCCCTTTTGCTGAGAGGAAAACAAAATTTTGTCTGACTACAATCTTTACTGGCGGACAAAAAATTGGTGGTGATCTCAATGTTGAAAGTACTCCAAGATTTTAAACATTTCTCTAACGTTCACTGCAATAGACAGGTGCTGTTAGGTCGAAGGTTTCTTTCTCTCGGGGGCATGCTACCAATTTTTTTTTTATAATTTTCTATATGCTTTAAACTATAGTCAGTTCCTTCCTTTGCGTCCATATCGCGCATCCTGTAAATGTGTTCACGGCTATAAGAGAGGAAGCTTAAAATTTAATTGCAGAGTCTTTTCAACAGTGGTGTGGCTGCGAGCGAGCGCCTTTTTTGAAGAAAAGTTCAACAACGCCACGGTTGGAAGACCTCACTTTTGTTGACGGTCCCTGCAAACATATTAACCGCTATGATTTAAGGGTATACAACTGGAATGTAGGTTACTTTATTTCGAAGGAGTTCTTGCGCAATCTTTGCAAAACTAACGGCTGATATTGCCGCCATATAGAGGACCGCAAAAATTGGTGTCAGATTCGTGGTGAGAAATAGTCCCCATCGCCAAGTCCTGGCACTAATTTCGGTGGCTGAACGTCTCGCCACCAATCGAGTCAAATTGAAATTTTTCTATAGCGGATTCGCACCGATGCTTTGAAAGAGGAATAATACGATGTGACCAAGGCATAAAAGTACCGGCAGTACTGTCGGAAAATTAAGGGTCCACCACGAAAAATACCCAAATGGGTTGAGGCTGATACTTTGATCCTTCACCCGAAATGTTGTTGTCTTTAGAACGAGATTCCAGCATATGAAAATGCACCAAGATACTTGGCTGTCGCTAGATGGAAAGCATCTCAATCAGTGCCTCCAGTGTTCTAGAAATGTGTACGTTCCGAGTACGCGCCTGCCTCTGTGCAGCAAACGGCACACGTTAATAAATACAGGGAAGGATCAACGTCCAACTACTGCGATCACAACAAACAGCCGAATGGAGGAAGAGGAAGACCTTCACTCCGTTAAAAAGAGTAAGTAGAGAAGCACCTGCGCTTGGTATATTCAATTGGCATCAAAGAGCGAAAAGGAAGAATGAATGAAGCGCTTTTGTCAACTCGGCTATGATCGCGTAAGCGTAGACACCACCGTTAAAGGTGCAAGACAAGATTTTTACAGTAGAACAACGACGGTGATTATAATTGAGGGCACTTCACTACATGGCTCTTATCTTTCGCCAGAATAAAGGGTGCACAAAACCTGCATTTAGTCCGACTTACAGCTAGACGTTCGTCTCTTGAATTGAACAGTGTAGCTATGCTATGTAATGTCAATCCGTAAGCAAGTATGGTATCAAACAGGCGCTTGTTTTACAATCCTAGCAATCCCATTTCTGGTCTGACCTGACATAAATTTCGACTCAGAACACCGAAAAGATAGGCAGTGCCTTAGAGATTATTTCTATTTCAGTATATTGTGACTAACTGATATCCAAAGGAACGGATATTCGCTCCAGATGAAAAGACGCCTCAAGCTTTGAAATCATATTTTTCTGCGTTTCGCTCTGGATTTTGTTGGAGATTATAGTATATGAACTGCAGCTGCTTACCCAGGAACAGTTCTATATCCCATTACACCTCATCACTGGCATATATCGAAGGACTTTCCTTATATTTGTACATGTAGAAACAACTTCTAGTCTCCTCTCAAATAAAGCTCTTAAAAAGGTAAAGTTCTATCCTTCAAGTTCCGCAGTTGAGAAACAAAATTTTTGTTCTTGTAAGTAATGGATTCCCGAACAAAAATCTGTTATACGGTTCCTTGGAAATTATAATTTGTAAAAAAAAGCATAAAATATAATAAATAATGGCTTGAAGAAATATTGCTCAGAAATTCATTCTCACTCACTAGAAAATCGAAATTTTTTATTGAGAAAATATTTTGTTGTTTCTGTGCTCAAGGATATGCAGGACCCTGCGAGTGAAAATAGTAAAAATAAACAAACAAATTCCTAAACGCAGCCACAGGAAGTCGACTACTATAATTTAGAGATTAAAAGAAATAAAAAAAAATGAAAATGTTTATTTTTAACTGACAACAATTTCAACATTACACTTGAGATTTCCATTTCCTACTTCTGTCAGCGTGCAATGATTGAGTTAACAAACCAAAAAAAAAAGTCAGAGTGTTGAAATAAAAATCAATTGTAAAATTTAAAGAAAAAATTGTCATTATTCTGCAAATCTGACTTTGAAGTGATCTTTTACTCAATTTTTTTTTTTTCTTCGAAGAAATCGCGCACTGAGCCACGCAGTGCTGCGCTGCATGAGTGTGCGCAGCGTGCGGCTGGAAAAATATGCCAGCAATCACACACTTAAATTTGCGCTGTGAAGGACACATACACAGCGTATAACACTTGTATATATGTATGTGAGTATGCACGCTGTTGGCGTGTCCTTCTTAACGATTTCCCCTCTTGAGTCCCTCTGCGCACCAACAATGAACTATGAAACGCAATTCACTCACTCCAGCTAGTCTTTTATTTCTTACATTTTACCCCGCCTGATCTTCGTCCCGTCTTATATTATCATTTCACTTCTCCAACCTACAGTCTCAGCTGCGTTTCAGTTAGGCGTTGTGCATTGTTCATCGCTTTGCAAATTGAAATGTTGCGCCGCATAATGAAGCGATCAGTATGCATTTTGCCCATTAAAATCAGTGAAAAGCCGCCCAGGCAGACAGTTTGACTTACTCAATAATAAGATACTAACCGAACAGCAGGCCGGGACAGTCGTTCTGTCTGTGTCGTTGCTGCTGACGTTGTGTTGGCCAAGTATGGCTTGCTGTGCAATCGAGTATTGAATATCCTGCTGCGTGGCAGCATAAATTTACCAGACGCATATGCCTGATGCGTGCTGCGTGCTGCATGAGTTGCCAATGTTTTTATGTACATATGTATATGCGGGTATGTCTGTACGACTGAGTATACACGCAGCAGCACTTGCAATTTTATTCATATTCTTAAAAAAAAAAAGCCAAAGAGTCTCTTTTTCGTAACTGCTTTTTTTTGCCTTTTTATTGTCCTAAGATGTACGTGCATACTGAGTAACATACATAAACACACACACACACACACTGAAAAACATGTTAGAATTTGCAACACAAAAGCAGAGAAATAAAATTCCAGGTACCAAACCTTTGCCTCAACTAAATGAACAATAGAAAATCTTCTACCCATTTGATTGGTAAGCGTGAGCTCAATTATGAGCCCACAATTGCTACGCAGAAATCTTTTGTTCGTGTTTACTTTTGAAAGGAAATCGTCCGTGAGAAATAAGTTGTATTCAAACATCCGAAACCCGAATTTGCGGAAAGCGAAGCGAAGACTCAAACTGCCTGTGCCTGCTATAACGAATTGTTTGTATTTTTTTTTATTTTTATTTTTTTTAATTTTTTTTTTAAGTATTCGAAATGAGGGTTAGGGTCATAAAATGAATTTAATCATTTATAATTTAAATATTTTCGTATAATTAAAATTTAATCAAAAAATAATTAATAATGCTGGGTAACCTAGCCAAAATAAAATTTAATTTAATATTAAATATTTAATATCACTTGTAGTGCTCTAGTTACCAGGGTATCGAGCACTACGAGTAGCTTGATACTCGCTCGATGCTCGTACGTTGCTTGACTGCACAAATCAAGGCTTATAGAATAGAAGGTTACGAGATAAAATTGTCTGCACAATGGCCTACGATATAAAAAATCAAATCAAGTTGTCGAGTTTTACCCAAAATTTTGGTCGTTTTTGGTCAAAATTCGATTTTTTGATCAGATCAAAAATCGATAGGTCATTGTACGGAGAACTATATATAGAACATGTAAAAAAAAAATAGATAGATATCGGATCATTTATTTTTGAGTAATCACTGCAGCAAATTCGGAAAATGCTGTTTCAAGATAAACGCGTTTAAAGATAAAATGATCGTTTTCACTTTGGATGTAAAGAGACTCGCTAGCTGCCGAGCGGCTATAACTCAAAAACTATATGAAATATCGATTTGAAATTTTAATATGCTATTTTTAAAGGTGTAATCTGTCGAAATATGAAAAAAAATCGATTTTTTTTTTGAAATTTCACACTAGGTCTGCCCCTTAAGGACGAAGTTGGTTCAATTTTGTGGGTTGCCGAAGGCTTTAAAATAAATTTGCATATTTTTATCTATAAAACAACAAAACATTTTGACTATAAAAATCTGATTTTTTTTTTAAATTAAGAACCATCGCAATTAAGACGCTCTGAATATTTATAAATATATTTTATTTTTCGAACATTTTTAAATTATAAAAAATAATATTAATTTTTAATAAATATTTCTATATCTAGCAACTCTAACTTTTGGTGACATGTAATACGAATGACATGAGAAAATAATGTGAAAAAACTCCAAGCGAAGGCGCATTACTATAAAATATTTAATATAAAACCCGATTTTCGCTTATTTTCTTTATACGCTGAAAAGCTTTTGGTAAATGGACAATCAATATTTTGTCTAAAAATCGGTTTAAAATTCGAAGCGGCGAAAAAAAACAGCAGTGGGTTATTCTTGACAAAAATTTGAATAAAAAATTTTTGTGAGTGATTCACTTTAATATTTTATGAAAAATTCAAACAAAGATGCGATGTTGTAGCAAATTCGTTAACCGCCCCATTTTATGAATTTAGTGATAGAAATTCATGGTTTAATCAAAACAGGCTACGCTTGCACCTTTTACAGAGTATAAAATTGCCAAATCTGTGAAGGCGGTGGCGTTACAAAAAAATAAAAAAAAATTTCTGTAATTTGTGTTTTTATCTGTATAACAAAATTGTTCATGGTTATTGTAGATATATATTTAAAGGAAAAATTAATTTTTTTTTTTTTTGATAATATATACTCGTATATCAAGTCGCGCCCACTGTGTATATGACGAAGTTGGTTCGGATTGTCGTAACCTTGTATTCTATGAAGCTTGTGTTCAAATGTTTGATTGAAATGTTTCAAAGAAAAAGTCAATTTTTTGTTCAAAATGCTCGGGAAAGCTCGAACTGCTCGAGCTGCTACTCTAAATTTTCGGGCAGTGAGCAGTAAACAAGTGTTCGTCTACTCTCTGCTCACATGCCCAAGCTGCTCGAAAATGTTTGAAATGTTCGAATTATTGAGCTTTAAGCACTTGATCTCAAAATATCCACAGCTTTGCTATGACTATTTGCCCAAAACACAAGTCAGCTTCTTAGCAGTAATCGGTGATACAAACTTTGCTAGGTTAGGGAACAAAGCAGGTGCGGTAAGAACTTAGTCTTCAAATGATAATCGAAAACTTAATATAAAAATGGTTTCTTATTTCTAAACATTGACTTGCCTGGCGGCGAGGACCTCTTCCTTCCACACAAATTTCTGTCCAGCGAGTGACTTTTTCAAGTTTGAAAACAGGGATGAAGAAAAAAAAGTCTGGAGAATGATGAGGACAAGGAAGCAATTAGCAGAAGTAGATTGTCATGAGTCTACATTTTCAAAAAATTTTTATTTATTATAAAACCCAGCATGCTAGAAGGGTTGATTGATTTAATGTGATTTTGCTTCGCCTGATAGGCTCTCCGATGTCTTAGGCTTCTTCTAGCCGCAACTTCGCTTTCAAACAGTAAATACACCGGTTTCTCTGGTTGTAGCTCACAGAAGCGACAAGCTGATTATAAGTATATGCATATGCTTACCCAGTCTCCAATATCCTGTAAGACATTCTTTTAGTTTTCTTAAGTTATTCTTACCTTAGAAATATTATGTCCCTAAATCTTCTGGTATTATAAAAGTCTCGTCGCTGGTATACCAGTATCTGGTTGTTATTCTCCTTGCTCCTCTTTAATTTTGTGAGGACCTATTGGGAAAGAAGAAAAAAGAAGAAGAAGAAAGGCTTTGCTTTCATAAACGACATTGATGCTGCTTTTCTCGCAAGCCTAACTAACTCATTCCGATGCCCGTAAGTCCCGGAACCAAAAAGGGCCGGGCATTGTTACGTCTCTTGTATTAAAAAAGATAACGGGAGAAGAGTTAATCACCTAACTAAGTTCGGATTTTGAGCGCATTAAAAGACACCGTCAAATAGGCGAGAGCGCGGGAAGTCGGTCAGTTGGAAATGTAAATAGTGTTTATGGTACTGTGCCTGTAACAGTCAATCTTTCACAATTTCGGTTTCATCGATTTTCTTCCCGTTTATTTTGATGTTGAAGACGATCCACGGTGTGGATGACCGTGGAAATCGTCGAGTCTGAACATCGTGCGAGCAGTCTTTCGAAAACAGAGCTTGGTACCATTTGAAAAAGGCTGGATCCACAAAGAGACTCGAGGTATGGGTGAAAAAATGTCTTGGACCGAATTTCCAATCTGCTGAATCGTAACAAAATCTACCAATTTCTGAAGCGGTCGGTAACTGATGATGAAAAGTGGATCCCCCGCAGCATCGTCAAATAAAAATGGTCGGGGTGTGGCCGCCACAAAAGTTTTCCAAGCCAGGATTGATGGTCAGGAATATTTTGTTGTATTATTGACAAGAAATCATCTCCTTGATCTCCTTTGACCAAACTCTTCATTTTGATCTGTACGTTCAGTAATTGAACCCTATGAAATATGCAATCGCCCAGATGCTCCCAGCTTTGGCCAACAGGAGGGGAATTGTGTTTTATCTTGACAACGAAAGACCCCAAACATCAATAGTGACTTGCCAGTAGCTCCTAGAGATTGTTCTGGAAGCTCTTATGCATCTACCTTATAATCCAGTCCTGACACAAAGTGATTTATATTTGTTTCCTGTTTTACTGGTGAAGAACCGGCCTAAAGAAGATAGTATGAAAATCGATTGCTCCAATTCTTAGCCAGTAGGGACAAGGGTTTCTATGAGATAGGCGTAATGGCATTACTCTCGAAATGGCGAAAAGTCATCGAGCAAAATGGTGCATATTTAACATAAATCCGGTAATCTGTATATAAAATGCTTTGTTTGATTGACTGACGGATCAAAGCACAGTTAAAATCATTG